TGCGCACATCTCGCCACGCGCTCGAATTGGGCGGTAGGCCGGCCTAAGACAACGATTTTTAATAATTAATTACTCGTTAACTATTATAAAAATTGCAAAATGGTACAGGACTTTTCCGATCATCTCGATCCGTTCTACCTTCTCAAAAATTTTGTCGGATATGGAAAGACTCACCCTGTATATGTGTCGTTTTAATATATAAAAAAACAATTTATAGCCAGTTTTTCTAACACCTGTAATTTAGAAGCAAATTATAAAATTATAAAAATTTTACTCTTATCGAACATATTGCGCTAAAGATCTTTGTGTCGGAAAAGTTATGATAAACATTCCAAATTACTCCACATTTTTAAAAAAATTAGAAAAACAATTTAAGAAAGTACTTATAAACTGTAACAAGGACATTATCATTACTCGTGCCGTTCCATTATGAAAAAAAAAATTATGTTTAATATCTGTAATTTGGAGAGAAATTATTCTTATCAAGCATAATGCATCGACGACCGTCGTTTCTAATAGCAACAATACGTTGTAAAAATATAACTCGGAATGTTCCCATTATAGTTTCAATTTGTGTGGTCTTGTTTTAAAAATAATAAATTCAAGTATCGCAGTTTTTATAGATTATTGAAGAGGAAAGAAGTGCACAAAGTATATTTAAAGTTTTCTGTAAAACTTATACCTTATTTGTAAATAATAAGTTCATTCAGTCATAAGCAAAAATAAATATATATACTGCATGTAGAATAATTCGAAAAGTTGTCCGCAATATTTTTTAAATGTTGCTATAACATTGTTCAAACTACATAGCAAATTTAAGTTTCTTGTCAGATCACGTGACCTGAATGACATCTCGATAAGAGTAGGATCAATATCCACATAACTCGAGATTCAAATTAAATATTGAATATGGATGACTTTATATGAAAAATTGAATATAGATGATCCAGATGAATTCTCGCTCCGAACAACGTTCTACGCTGCGCACGGAATATTGCGCATAAAAGTTAGCACACTGCATTTGTCACAAAAAAAAAAACAACGTGTCGTTAGCATGCGTCTGATTGATCTACAGACGCGCAGAAAATTGCCAGATGTCCGTCACGAAACTTTCATTGTCGCACGATAGCGCGCGATGAAAAATAAGTGACGCATCGTCTCAATCGCTCCAGAAACGCAGAAGCTTCGATGTAGCTTTTCGCCAACTGTTCGATGCGCGCATTCCTCTGCACGTATAATATTATACTGACGATATGCACAATGTGCGATGCAATGCGGATAAGGAACGAATGCACAGTAGATTGCCGCGTAATCCAAGCTAATGCTCGTAAATCTTACACCGTTGCGCAATCAGGACGCAAATATACCTTGCGCTTCAACCGTGCTTTAATTGTATTCTCGGCTAACAGTTGAACGATCACACCGTAATCCGTGATCGTAACGGATTTTCAAGCACGTAGTTTATATACAATGGAGATTTTGTGTGCACTCCTGTTTGCAGGGTTGGGAAAGTTACTTTATAAAAGTGTCTAGTTACAGTTACAGTTTTTTTCGCTAAAAGTGTAACTAGTTACAGTTACAAGTTACCAATTCTGAAAAGTAACGCGTTACAGTTACAGCTACTCAAAAAGTAACGAGTCGTCACTTTGCAGTTACTTTCTTGCAATAAAAGTAAAGATATATCAAATCTGCGTGTGAATTTTAAAGTGACGATAAAGGCGTTTATGTTTGATGCAAAGCCTAATACGATCTGTGGAGGTTTAAAAAATATATAAAATAATTATTAATGTAACTGAGTTAAGTTACAGTTACAGATGGAGGGAAAGTAACGAAGTTAAGTTAGAGTTACCAAGAAAAAGTAATTGTAACGGCAACTTCGTTACAAGTAACGAATTACTCCCCAACCCTGCCAACTTGTATACACTGACAATGGGTAAGAAAAGTGTTGAATAAAGGAATATATTTCTTGAGATTAAATTACATGCGGCTGTCACGAACTGTCGAGCAACTGTTTATTAATTAAAAATATATATGTTTCGCTAAATATAATAAATATTACGTTTGTTTAACTTAAAAACATACCCATTTTTTAATTAAAAAAATAAGCTAAACATATTTGGTCATATCGACAACCTTTTTTTCAGTGTTTCTCACCTAAAAATAAAGTTAATGACTATAATATAATTTCTCCCTTGCTCAGTTTTGAAATAGTTTTGAATAGTTTCATTTAGAATGTAAAATTGTTTAATTAGAAGTCGGAAGGTGTATTAAAAATTAATCTCGCGTACGTAGGTAATATTTTGCGGACGCTTCTAATTCTTTTTACTCGAAAAAAAATTAAGGACCCCTAGATTTTGAATTAGCGAACATAAAATTGTGGATGTATTAAAAACTAGAAACTAGGTGTATTAAAAATTAAACGTGTTTCTCGCAATGTTTTAGGAACAAAACACGCATGTTGTTTGCTACAACGCGATGGTGTCGCAACCCCGAAGAACGTAAAAAATACATAACTTTGCGCGCGCTTCTATTTGTATGCCTGAAAAATTAACGACGACCAGCCCCGTCGCTTACCTTTCAAATAGCATACGTGAAATTGTATAATTGGATTAGAAGATTAAAAATTAAGCATGTTTCTTTTTACGCGACGCTTCAGAAAAGTAAGTCGCTCATTTATCAAGCTACGCGATAGCGTAGCAACTTCGGAGTACATAAATTACTTAATTTTGCATACACATTTATTCGCGTGCCTGAAAATAAATTAATGTCCGCCCTCCTCGTCGATCAATTTTGAAACAGCGTAAAATTGCGGAATTGGATTACGAGGTTCATTAAAAATTAAACACGCTGCCTCGAGGATAAGACTCCATTAGCGTCTATCTATGGACATACGATACGTAGTGTATTCGAGTATGCATGACTCAACTATGTCAACCCGTGCGCCAGTCATTAGTTGCAAAATCTTGACTTTTCTCGTCAGTGCCGTCGAATCGCTTATTAGAGGAATATTATTTTGGAAATGCGCGCGAAAATAACGCAGTCCGCGTGCACTTATGTAACGCGAGGCTAAAGAATGGATAAATTATAGATAAACGCGGCGACCTTGCCGATAACTTTTGTCGGTTAACCCGATAACATACGTAGGCCAAAGTGCAGCGAAACTGTAAAAAAAAAACGACCGATAAAGATACAATTTTCCGGATTTCACCGATGCGTTTCTGTAACGATTTTGCAAACGTTCTTCCTTCGAGCGGAAGTCGCTCGGCTTTGTCCGAAACGCGCTTTCGTGTTCGTCCGTGAGACGCGTGACGATGCAATAGCAGGTACATGCATATCACGCGTCTGTGCGAGGAAGAAGTTGCGTAATATGTAACGGTAAAAACGCCGTATGGCAGCAATAAGAAGTTGCCTGTTTCCTCCGCTCGCGCAATGAGAGTCTACCGTTCGTTACAAGTTCGGTAATTAGCACGTAAAAAGTATCCTCTAATCTGCGCAGCCCATCAGTCGTAAAAGTATCGCACTTGAAACATTGTGGATATAGAATTTTAACAATTAGGTTGAGTAATCCGATCCAACTGGTTGCAGGAAAATATCCTTTATTGTCACACAACGTTTTCGTAGGTCGGCGGGTGGCATGTGGTTAAATGCCAGTAAATTAACTTATTTATTTAATTTAACTTATTAATGTATCCCGACGTTCTCATTTCTGTCCTAGTAGGCCTAATGGCATTTAATCGCCGACTTGATGCTACAAAATACACTTGAAAAGGGCCAAAACCCATGGCCGAAACGTTGTGTGACAATAAAGGATATTTTCCTGCAGCCAGTTGTGTCGGATTACTCAACCTAATTTTTAATTAATCACTGGCGTTTTAATTGTTCCAAATTGTGATAGAATTTTAAGATGGGTCGCATTTCATAAATTTCGTATATTAAATAAATTAGTATGGCTCGTATGTGTTAAACACAAATTTCAAAGAATTTAAAGGACTCAGAGCCGTGACAGGGTGGTAGTGTCCAGAATATTTAGACACTACCACCCTGTCACGGCTCTGAGTCCTTTAAATTCTTTAAAATTTCGTATATTACTTAATATAAAGCTGGATAGATTATGCAGTTCTCTTAACAGAAAACAGAACGAGACTTTTAAACGTATATCGGACGACTTTAAATGGATAAATGCATGCATAAGTGTGAGGGAGATTTAGCGAAACGCTAAAGAAATAGAGATAAAAAATGGATACATTATTTATAAAACGTAAAAAGCAATATACATATAATTAATACGATTATATATGAAAAAAGAACAGTAAAAATTGAACATCACACAAGAATCGGCCAATGCGTGTCTAAGGCAAGATGTAGGTAGCCTATGCTTGTAATTTATTAAAATGTGAATCCATATACCGCTTCTTTCCACATTTGTCCCGCGCGCCGCTTTCTTTTCGGACATAACGCAGTTTTCTCATGGGTGGAGTTATTATCGTCGGTAAATATTGATTCAATTTGGAAGAATATTACCAGAAATCTTTCCGCGAGTAAAAAACGTCAGACACAAAGGAAATTAAAATGTCCACTAAACAAGGAGAAAATGTTACATAGTAAAGTTTAAAATAAAGATTTTCGTATCTAATACAAGAATGTTGAAAGGTATTGAATAGGTAAAATCTGTTGGGTCTAAACATAAATAAATTGGGCACACAACATCTAAATCATTGTAGCTGTGAGATTTTTTTTTCATTTCTGAGATAAGACATTCGTGAAACGCCAGGGGCTCTTACAATTAATATCGGCACGTTACGTCTCGTTCTGCTCAAATCGCGTTATCGCCCCTTAGGGGCTCCGTTAAGTGAGCGCCGATAAAACGGCGTTATTACTCACGTAACCGGTATTACAGCCCGATGATGGGGGCCGATCGATTCCCGCGTCAGTTTACACGTCGCTTCCAGTTGTTCTTTCTCTACGTACACGTAAGTACATGTTTCGTTAGTACCTAACTGCTCTACGGGTGACACTGCATCTTAAAAAGTGCCGCAAAATGTGATCAAAGGAGAAAGATATTTAAAGAAGAAGAGACCTTTCCACGAAACATTTTTAGAGCGAGCACACGTGTACGAATACTTTTTGTAAAAAGAAAAAGAAAGAAAGAGCAGCAGGCATTGTTTTTAGCGTGCACTTACAAATGTTGCACGATACATTTCTTAGGTTCGCGTTCTTTTTTTCACAGCTCTGAACGTCTCTGTGTGGCGCACTTTCACCAATTTTGCCGGATTGCAACAGGCGCAATCGCGCATTGTGACGTAATAAATTTTATGGCACGTTATTGTTATAGAGATTGTTCGGGGAGTACTGCGTCGCAAATGTTCCTACGGCCGTTAGATGATGTAATTTCAGATTAAGGAAGAGATAACTAAAATATTGCGGCCTCGAATGTCCACTGACCTTTGTCAGAGTTTTATCCCGACTCCGCGTGATCCGAACAAAAAGTGGACATTGAAATATTTACCGGAAGTATTACGATACCTCGACGCTGAAATCTAAAGTGCGTAACCAAATACGAAAATTTATGCCTTTGTATATATTTACACGGATTGAAAGCGGATACGAGCAAATGTAAACACGTATCAACTTTGCGCGTTTTTTTATTTAAATCGCATATTTTTTATTTAAACATAATTTATTGAAGTAAAAAGTATATGATAAAAAAATATAGACGAGAGTCCCCTATTATGAGATAGAATATGAGATAGCGGAGTTTCTCCTAAATTAATAGGCATCATCAGTTGATGCCAAAATAAATTTATTGCCCTTGGAGCGAAGTCCGTTTAGTGGAAAATTCATTGTTAGTAATCGTTGCGAAAAGAGATTTGTGATTGAATTTTAATTATATTGAAGTAAAAAGTGTATGATAAAAAATATAGAAGAGTCCCCTATTATGAGATAGGATCCTAATATGAGACACAGCGGAGAGTCTCTTCAATAGGCATCATCAGTTGACGCCACAATGGATTTATTGCGCTTGAGGCGAAATCCGTTTAGTCGAAAATTTATTGTTAGATCGTGTAATCGTTGCGATAAGAGATTTGCGATTGAATTTGGGTGTTGAAAACCTGCTGTCTCGTATTAGAAATCTATCTCACAATAGAGAACTTTTCCTTATAAATATACAGATGTATCCGAGTTTCCGCCATTCTCTTTTGGCAAACAACTATGAACTGACAATTTGGCGAGATTCGTCGTTGTATATAATATTCATATTCGTAGTTATACGTACGATTTATACGTATTTAGTCGAGGAAGTAGGAGGTCGTCGGGATCATATCGATGACGAAAACCACCGGAGACGTCACACAACGCGCCACAGGCTCGCGGGAGAAACTTTCGTAGGACTTTCTTACTTCGCACTACGCGCCGCAGCGGACGAGCGGGCGGGTTTTGGGGGGATCCGTCCCAGAGGAGCGCAGATAGGCCCGGGAATCACACCGCGATCGGGAAACGCCGCACATTCGCGGGGCTTGATCGTCGCCCGGTGATTATTGCTCGGGAATTCCCGCGTCGCGTTCCGCGGATTTGCGCGCGTGCCGATTCGACCGCTACGTGCGCGCGTCAACCGTCGAGAAAACGCCGCTCGAAACAGTCGAAACGTCCGCTGGGCGAACAGGGACGTCAGGTAGAAGGATTTTTCCCACCACTCGATCGTCCCCGCCACTACGGTCGGAGCGCCACGTGACCGCCGCGGACAGACTCGAGTCTGGGACCGACGGCAAGTCGTTGAAGTCTTTTTCGCTCCTTCTTACGTCTCTTCTTGTAGTCTAAAAGAAATTAAACAGAAGCGAAATTATAAATTGTAAAATATTTATATAATATGCAATAATTCTCCGCAGTCTCCATATCGCAGAAACCCGGTCAAAAATTGTTCATACATTGAGCAAAGTTGCTTGACAACGCTTGGCTGGCAAATCCTAATTAAAGAAATCCATTGCGAAAAATATTACCCCAGCCAGGGTTTGAACCTGGACCTCCCTACACTCTAGGCTGAGGTGATATTTTTCACAGTGAATCTCTTCAATTAGAATTTGCCAGCCAAGCGTCGTCAAGCAATTTTCTGGTTAATCAATTACTGACGTTAAATAATTCTTCACGTTATGAATAAATATATATATATAATTATATAACTTTCATAGATTTATACATGCTTTTATATGAAAAAATTTTTAATGTGAAAAATTGCGCAATTTATAATTATATATAATTATGTATAATTGTACAACATTATGTAGATATACAACGTTATATAAGGTCGTTGAAATCGTCTTAACATATGCTATGCTTAACATATGCTAAGCTAACATATGCTTGCACTAAAAATAAAAAAAGTATAACATGTCATTTAATAAATAGAGGTGTCCTTGAAATCTCCGAAGCATCTCCACTTTTTGATAAAATATTACTAACATGTTATAGCTCCCTTGATATAGTACTAAACTAGTATCTAAAGATAGCGGAGATATTCGAGGTAGACGAAGTTATCGCCTCACCCTGTTTAATTATAAATGAACAATTCTTTCTCTTAAAAAATTTTGCATATAAAAGCATGTATAAATTTATAAAACTATATACACCGAGAGAATTTTCTCTCAAAATTTATCCTGAAAATCATGTGACCGTGGGACAATATGGCATTTTGAAGAGCTTTATGAGTTTTTTTGAAATTTTACCATACGTTTTCCTAGTAAAATGTATACTAATTATGATTGTAACTACTAATATAATAATACTAATTATGACTAGTAAAATGTACGATAAAATTTCAAGAAACCCTCATAAAGTTCTTTAAAATGTCATGTTGTCCCACAATTACATTATTTTCAGGGTAAATTTTAAAAGAAAATTCTCTCCGTGTAGAGCTGCGTAGAATTGTATAGAATTATATAGAAATATATAGAAATTCACACTGTAAAAATATGTATGGACGTATTTCATGTCTAATTTTATATAATACTATACACATATTTATGCATGGTCATGCGTGAAAAAATTTTTACCGGGAACAAATGCTGGTGTCCCCGCGGCACGGCAGGCGAAGCGATATCGATCAGTTTCACGGCAAACATCTGTAAATAATTGAGTCGACTTGGAGACAATTTATTTGTCGCGTGCTTCGTATCCCATTCTCTTTCAGAGTACATCGGAATGACGGACCCAGGAACGCCAGGCGCTCGCTTGAGTACGCACGCTACTGTGAGTCACGTGACGGGCGCCGCCGCGCACGCGCGAAAAATCCCCCGTCCGGCCATTGCTGCGCGATTCGAAATATGCGGAGGATGCGGCCGGCCGACATGACTGGAACCCGCCGCTCGATGAATACAATGACAGATTGACCCACGGCTCAGGGTCGTGACTACAACGAAGCCGGACAAACAAACCCGAAGGTAATTGTACGTACACCGCCGCGGCGCGGCGAATCGATAAAAGAATATTATCACCTTGAAGCATCGACCGATTGTCACCTCAGTGTTGTGCCTGCGTTAGTCACACGGGATTATGTTAATCTATGTAAAACAGTCATCGGATGAATAAGGGCTGTACGAATGAAGCACAATTGACACGGGAGTTGCAACATTAGTCATTAATATTGCGCGTCTCGTATTAGTCCACTGGATTCGTCAATTCCCGGCTTATCTCTTGTTTAAGGTAAACTTATTTGTTGTGTAATTGCGATGCGTTTATTTATGTAATATTATTTCTGAACAGTTTACTCTTGAGCAGTTATTTGGCACTTTATAGCCCCGCGTTCGCTTTCATTATCAATTCTTTTTATTTAAAATATAAATTAATAATTGAGATCAAGTGTAGAATGTTTTTATTTAAATTAGCATTCTTTTTATTAATATAAAATTATAATTTCCGTAATATCCTGGAGAATTATAACTAGATTGAGAGACAATTCGAGATTACCGAAATGCAATCGCGAAATTTTATTGTAAATTTAAATTGTTTACCCTAGAATACGCGGTACAACATTTCTTTTCTCTGTCAGTAATATCAAACTCTGTATCTTGTCGTTGCAACAAAGTTTAATTCTGCAAAGAAACTTCATTGCCGACAAAGTATTACTATGTAGTTTTAACATTACCGACTGTGTTCCGATGACGCGAATGAGTGCTGTATGGATATTCAAAGCAGTCTTTTTAGCCACAGATTATTTACAGATTTCGAGTCCTTATCAAAGACAAGGGAGTAAAAATGCCACGCAAAAATATAACAAGATTTCTTAAAATCTTTCATAATTTTATAGCAGAAACTTTGTTAAACTAATAGTAAGATTTCCTATTTAAATGTATTTGCTTTTCTATCTTACATAATTAAAGTTTCAAAAGAAAATACTTAAGAAATAGCAGAAACATATAGTAATCTTTTCTCCGCGTGCGCATTGAATACGATTGGAGTAAAGCAAAGAGATCAAAATAATCCTTAAAGTGTATGGGACACGTAATTGTGAAAGTGTGTTGGTTATTCCGGTTAATCTCTCACGAGCAATATCAGAATTATCGCACCTAGAAAAAAGATTATAGTTAGGTTAAACAAATGAGATTCGTTGAAATCACGTTTCTTTGAATCTACTAAATCTTTCTTTACTTCTACTAAAACATTAGCTAGATTTGAAGAAATAGATGTGAATTCTCTTAGAAACTCCAGTCTTGATGAAATAAAATTTTGGTTAAGGTAAAGAAATAATTTCTTTGAAATTAAATAAGAGCCTAGTGTCAAAATTCAAACAAATTGGTTGGATTTCAAACAAACTTTTTTCTAGGTGTAAATCGTATCACGATTTACTCGTGGATTATTTACATAACTCAGCTCACAATTAGATAAGATTTTTATCATTGTATTTAGTACGCCAGAATCACTATAATATACTCGCAAACTTTCTCTTTCGGGCGCGTCTTTAAACGGTATATTCGGTGATGAAAACTGAATCTCTCTGTTTGAAGAAGTTTGTAGACAGTAAAATGGTTTAGGCAATATCCTTTTATTTCGAGTCTCCACTAATTATCTGTTTTGTGCTTATACTCATGTGCTTATACTCATGTTTAAATTATTTGTTAATTTTTTATTTGAAAACCGTTGCGTACAACTTTGCAACAATGTTGTTGCAAGTTGAAATACCTGCAGTGATTTTTCAGAGACATATCATTATATTATACGTTCCGAATACTTTTAACATCTTATTGAAGAGAACTGCCAAGTTAACTTATTTAATACAAAATTTAATATTAAAAATTAAGTTCCAAGACTTTTAATTATTTTCGAAAACCGACGGTTGGGACGCGGTTTTCGACCCCATTGTCGTCGATTCGACGTTGATTCGACGTTAGTGTTCTCACTGGGTATAAAATATGAAGGAAGATTGATCTTTCAATTATCATTTTAAGTACATGTTTAAATGTTTTGATGGAATATTCTACCGAGATTTCCTGAGACTCAAATTATTTTTATTAGGAGACAATGAATAAACATCAGGCGTTTCACTGTCTTACGGCAAATTTTTACGCAACACTGATAACGGATTGATTACAAATTTCTTCAGATTGCGTAAAACCAAAATCCAGCGTACTGAAATATCGTCGATATCCTCTCACGAAAAAAAGCACAAAATATAATGCTTAAGAGATCCCGGACTATTTCGATTTTTACCAAAACACCTAATAAACATGTTTATCTCACACGAACAAGCATATTCTGACATATTTTCTTATCGTACACAAATACAATGTACGTGAGAATCTTGACGGCTTCTACTCGTTAGCTTTAGTTGCAAGTCATTACGACGTGGATTCACTTGCGCTCCAACATGATATCGTGCGATATCGCGCGTTTTGACGAGCAAAATATCTGGTTTTTGTATCCGGGAGCAGAGATCCGGAGAATCATACAATCTGTGGTATTACTGACCTCTTATGCAACATGCACACGGACTTTTCAGTGACATATCATTATATCATATCATTTGTTGCGAGATCTGTCATTCTTTACAAGGAACGAATTCGTTAATTTACAAAGTTCACGAATTTGTGGTTAACTAAATTGTAACATATTGTATAAGCTTAGATATAACATTATATAACAAATTGTATTGTATTTCTCTACCGGTGAGAGTGTGTAGATTCTATTTAATGTTAATTACATTGTTTCGTAATTTCATTATTTCAATTCGACGAAGATCGATATAACGGACTTACGCGTGCGCCTGCGTTATTTGGTCACTATTTAACATTTACTTTTAGAATTTACCGAAAATTCGATATAGCTTGCGCGCCGTAATCTTACATACAAATAATATCGTGCGCCTGTATAATTTTTTTCGACAAATATGAAAACTTTTCCCTCACGCATAGTCTGCGAATGCAACTCTCAAAACTTTTTCCAATAGGCAATTTAAAATTTTGCTTAAATTGTCTCGTCTTTATTTCAGTTATAGTATTCAAATTACTCCCTCGCTAAAAGTTTCAGTTTCCTTCGCGCGTTCGTCCTCTTTCTTTCTAATTTTTCATTTTTCTCGCAAAGACTTTGAAAATTTGCCGCAGCTCGTGGCGCTTCGCGCGTCTTAATTGTCGAAGAAGGAAGAAAAAAAGAACTGCACGGCGCTCTCGAGAATCGCGAAGCTCTTTTCCGTTCGGCGCGCGCGCTGCGCTTCTCCCACCGAATAGAAAGAAGATAATTCTCGTTAGCCTTGATAGGACTAAATCGTTAGAACGTCGGGCGCTACAGTTCCCGCGCTTAACAATTGCAGTTCTCCGTGCCCGGCTGGAGCATTCGCGCATCGTCGATCGCGGTAAGCGCATCATTGTCGTAGCCGTATCCGTCTCGCAAAACCCGAACTTGCGCATCCGGCCCTAATCGCAGCCAGACGCGGCATTGATGTGTCGTCATTCTGATAATCGCCGACGTGTCGAACCAACGCTGCTATCGAACTTTTAATAGTACGCGCCGGTTCAGTGCGGCCAGTCGGTCGACGTTCGATTGTCAGTGCGTATCCGACGCAACGGCCGCGGCCTGACCACGCGACCAGGGGAGTGGTCATTATCTCCGACGTAACAAGCGAGGTAATAGAGATGCGAAGTGCGCCTTAGGAACGAAACGAACGCTCCTTATTTGCTCCGCGGCGACGATATTAAGTCGATCGCGCGAGACATCGATGCTCCCAGTGAGAAGTGATTCGTCGATTCGACATCGATCCGACATCGTTTTGACGAGTCACTTCTCACGCCGGGTTATATAAAGTTCTGTATTAATCGCATTAAAATTTTGTTGAGGCAACATGCTCTTTATCTTCCTCCTGTTTGCCTTGGATATCGTCGAACATCGTCTATATCGAAGGTCAGGGGGAATGCATGAAAATAATGCGACCCAGTGAGAAATGATTAGTCGAATTGACATCGATGCCGGCAAATTGACGTCGATTCGAGAGCGATCTGACGGCCGTGTCGATTCGACGTCGTTTCGACATCGATCGACGAGACGTTTCTCGCTGGGGAATATTCAAAGTTTCGTTAAGACGCGCGCGTCTAGCTTCGCTAGTTATTGCTTTTGTATATTCATGTTGCGTTTAGCATTGTCCTAGATATGCAGACCACTCCATGGCCCGTTTGTGTGTGTGTGTGTAAAAACACAACACGTAGTTCCGACTATGCATTCTTCGCGCGGTACACTGAACGATTGCTATGCGTCACTTAAAACGCTACATCTCTTATCTTTACCATATTTTCTGTACCGACGTTCTTCACGGGGTTATCTTGGATAATGTCGGCGGTACTGTAGCTTTCAAGCAACATAACTTCGAAAGTACTTGACGTTACAACTTTTTACGCTGATATTTACATTTATACTGTAGTAGTGAGTGCTACGATTGATACGAAGCACGTAAGAACGAGTTAGTGAAGAATCTCTTCCTAAACTTCTCTCGACATTGATCGCGAAAAATTATTACGGCGCACACGTTGAGAAAAAAAAGTTGTCGAGACGACTAAACTTGTTTAATCACTTCTTAATTTATATTTTTAAGTCAGACATGCGTCATTTCGGTCAAAACGTACACGGAGAGAATTTTTTCTCGAAATGTGCCCCGGAAATCATGTAATCCGTGGGACAACGTGGCATTTCGAAGAATCTCATGAGAGTCTTTTGAACTTTTGCCATACATTTTACTATAAGTAATTATGCTTACCCAGTGAGAAATGATTCGTCGGTCGATGACGAAATGATGTCGAAACGATGTCGAACCAACGTCAATTTGACGGTGTCGATGTCGACATTTCTCGCTGGGTATACATTTTGCTGGTAGAATGTACGGTAAAATTTCAAAAAAACTCTTATAAAGATCTTCAAAATGCCTTGTCGCCCCACGCTTACAGAATTCTCAGTAAATTGCAAGAGAAAATTTTGTCCGTGTAATATTTTTTTGCGAATTAATAAATTGCTTAAGGCCGCGACCGTCGTAGATAGTAAAATCGAGAAATGCTTTTTTGAGTAAACATTTCTTCTCACAAACGGTGTACAAAGGCAGGGATCTTTTTTTTCAAAACTTCTTCCCGCAATGGTTGCGGAAACGTGGTCGGCTGACGTCTAAGGACGACGTCGCGTCAGCGCAGTCTTTATCATCTCATTACCATGAAAGTCATTAAGTGTAATAAGTGTTCATCGTTGACCATTAAATGGTGGCAATTATTTATGTAACAGTCGGCGGGTTTGTCGGGCAGATTAAATTTTACATGCGATTACAATACCGTATTGTTGCGGTCAAGGTTCCCGATGAGGAAACCCAGCGTATCCCCGCCGGTGTAACCGTAGACGCGCGTCGCGTAGCACGCGAAGGATTTGGCGGTTCAACAACCGGTTGTTTCCCGACAAAAATTTGCCGCAGCGAGAACACGATCGCATCCGCGTGCTCTGGGAAAAAAGAGACAGTTATAACCCATTTTGGGGCCCACCATTAGTAATCGAATTATTTGGATTGTTCGTAACTCTACTCTGGGAAAAATTTTGACCGTTTTTTTTATGTAGTTAAGTAACTTAACATTTCGGTTATTGCCACTTAAGTGAAAATTATCTTTGCGTTACTGAATATCGACAAAACTAATTGAGAGAATTGATTAGTATTACTCTAATATCTTGGATACAGATAGAACGGCTAATTGTGATTTAGCTAAGTGAGATAAAATTCGTAAAAGATTAGAGTTACGAACAATCTAAATAATTCGATTACTAATTGTGAGCCCCAAAATGGGTTGTAACTGACTTTTTTCCCAGAGTGCATTTCGATTCGCGGCGAGATCGTACGTAATGTAAGTATATACGATTCATTGTGTCGTAGAAATCACGGAAGAGATACCGTTGAATTGAGAAGTTAAATAACTGCCCTGAGAAGTGCTCGTCTGCATCAACTCGCACGCGAAAAGACAGAATGGATTACGAAACGTTATCTAAGAGCCTAATTTTCCCGCTCTCAATAATGCGTGACTTCAAGATGACGTTAATTTAACGCTATTGGATGCCACGTTTGGAAATCTTTCTCCTCGGTTACACGAATACTTTCCCTGACAATTGGAAGACGAAAATCTCAAAAGTAGTATACATATCTGTATTCATTACGATTTCAAAAAGCAGTTGAATACGAAGCAAATTTATTCGTTTGCTGTTGATCTTTTCACGTATACATAGTTAAATATAGAATATCTGTATAAATTTTATGCTTATCTTATATGGATTATGTTTATCTTACATGAATTCTTAAATGAAAGAAATTTTCTGCGCAGTCAATTTATTATCATTTAATATCACTTTAATCAAAACGCTTTTTTAATATTTTGTTTGTCAGCGGCTGCAGTTTATCAAAAATAATATCAACAATAATATCAAAAATAAAAGCTTTATATACGAGATAATTTCAAATTGAACAAATATTTTATCATTGGAACTTATATAATCTCGTGAGAATAAAACAGTTGCAAAACTTTGTGTATTAAATAGATTTGCTTACATTGACTCTGGTTCAAGGCGAGTATACACCCAGTTTAATCGACTTAATTGCTTTACGCAAGACACATAAATATTGTGTGACAGTCTAATAAAATTTACTAGTTTTGCATCAGTTTTAATAAAAACAAGCATATTTTGTGTATTATCTAATTAAAATGAATAAATAATAATGCAGTAATATTAAATAATAATATTAAACATGTTCGTAAAATATTTAATGAATAATAAATAGATACCAAATAAACAAAAATTAATAAAAGTTGTTATTAGCGTTAATAATGCTAAGTAAATTTATTAAATTAACACACATCCATATTAATATTATATTTTGAAGCTCACTTTTTTCGAACGATGTATAATACAATTCATGTCAGACTTCAGAATAAAGTTTTATTTGTAGTTTTATGTACCACAAATAAATGCATTTGAAGAATTAAGATACACACATAACATATACATATATGTACATATATACGTGTACATAGAAATATAAAATTATAAATAAAGTTCTGAAATTTAATGTGAATAGATTAAAATGAGCTTGATATCACAAATACATGGTCACTCTGTATTTCTTTGAAAACGAAATTGGTTAATCGATTTATATCGCTTATGCGTGTCCGAACAAAAAGTCGCAATCGTCGAATTGCTGCTCTAAGCTATATTTTATTCAGGTTAAACAAAGCACATATCAAATCACTGAATGTGATTGACCTTAAATTGCGAAATTTAAAGATCAATAACACATTAAATACATATAACTGCAATTAAGAAACATTAATTTTCTACGCAATTTTATTCCATCTCACTTCAGTTTTAGAATTTTTCATATTTGTACACGGGAAAGAAAATAATGAACATGTTAACAGTAAAATAATGTATTATGTTGATAGTATACAATTGACAGCAGGCTAATTGCAAATGATCTTGTTAATTCAATTATAATAAAAGAAAAACTAAATAAATAGTTTACGCTTTTATTCCAATGTTATTTGTTATATATATTAAATTAATAAGATTATTTTATTGTAGTAGAATAAAAAGCCTATCACGACGTATCAATATCGAGTTCAATATAGAAACAAATAATGTTAAGCTTTAGCTAACAACAGTCTAATCAATTGTGCTATTAACGTTACATTTTTCGTATTTATTCCAATGTTGGTTTCTCGTGATATGATTTTTCAATCTACTACAATATCTCAGTATTTTATATTACCACTCATCGTACTAATGTGCACATTTGTTAAATTTGACAGAATTTCATCATGATGACGTACGTTCTAAACACCGTGGTCCATTTCGTCAATTTGGTGGCTTACAGCTTCACGCTGTATTATGCATTCAATGTATTGCACATTCCTTTTCTCGTAAACAAGTTCAGCAAGTTCGACCCTGGCCAATTCAAGTATTTAACGATGTGGGATGTGGTAAGTAGTATTTTCGGTTCACAATCAGTTATAAACTCGCTGTTTTCCTTCCATTGGATGAAATATCAGGTACATACAGGGTGTACAAAAAGTTCGGCAAAGGCTAAATATCTTGAAAATAAAGCGTTTTGGAGATAAATGTTTTAGACAAAAGTTATATGGTTTAAAAAGGCGCATTTAGTGAACGTATGAGTTTGCGTGGCGTTATTCAGGTCAGGCCCAAGGTCATCTTGAATATTTTAAATGGAACCCCCGATTGTTTATTATATTATCTTATTCTACTAATTAATATGAATAACTTTTGTCGGAAACCTGTTTCGATTGGCCTAATACTTTTTAAGATATTCAAGAGAAAATTTATAACTTTTTCAACGTTTAGCTCATAATATCTCGATAACTGTTTGTCGGAGAGAAAAGTAGTACAGGACTTTTTTTACTTGATTCGGTCTCAGAAATATGCTGTTTCAATAGTGCTCCAATTATTGCAAATTTTTGTCTATGGAAATTTTGTGTATGCTACAATATACACCCTGTATAATATATAATATAACGAGTGCATTAATTATTTATTTATTATATAATACCATAGTGTGATAAGATGTATATATATAGTATGTAAAATGTTTAAAATACATAAAACATGTACAATAAGAATAGCTAATAAAACGAGCATATAAGAAGAGCAGCTTCAACGCAGCAAATATTTTTTACGTAATATCCGATTCACTTTAACTTCTACAACATAGATTTTTAGCGCTCTGAAATATATATTGATATCTCCTGAGAAATGGTGGTTTTTTTCTTGATACATTGCATAGCAGAAACTATAACACTTGTAACACTATAATTAATTATTACTAAATATTACATATATAAATTCAAATTTGCACACTTTTAGCTACTCTTAATACATACAAGACGTTCTTGCAATAGAAAATTTTTAAAACTTCGGAAAAATCTACCGTCTGGAAAGAATATTTTTTTAGCGTTACGAATACTTTTTATCTGTAACCGACAATGAGTTGTGAAAATGACCGGCAACCTTCGAGATATAAATATCGTAGTCATTTTCTATCGGGATTGGTCGATCAGAGTTTCAAATCGAGATTGAACGATTCTTATATGGAGAATAGCTTCCATACATCAAATCTATCAAGTTTTTTGTACAGTCAATTAATTTACGAATCGATTGTCTGAGTCCCCTGCTCGTGACATACATACAAACATATATGCATAACTGAGATAACTTTTTTGACGTCAATCGTTGCAAATTGCATATTTTAAATCAACAAGAAACTTTTTCGAATCGCAGATACAACAGGCTTTAAACAATATCTTTATTACGGCTAGAAATTTGATGCGGAATCAACGCATACAAAACGTTACGTCAGTGAATAAATAAATATCAATGCTCTTTTCTACGCTACTGTCATTGTGAATTATGACTTGAGAAATAGAAAATTATGTGAACTTGCATTATACATATATATACTTACATAACAGGGCAATAAGTTACTTTGTAAATTAACAAAACAAATTTTTATCACGCATACAGCATGCTAAATGTAGTTTATATCATGTTTAGACGCGTCTACTCGAACAATCTTCGCAAAACCTGATTCTAACTGTTCCACATTAGTAAACGAATGTATGGTATATACATATATAACTTTACCTTCATCAGAAAATTGATCAAGTTTTACAAGCATTTATTAGTCCAACTTGAAACTGTCATATTATCCACCAACTTTTTTCTCAAACAAATCTCGTGCAGATTACACGAATCTGTTCCCATCGTGGCGCTGATGGAACTTACGCAAACATAATTAAACACATGTATGGTACTTAAAAGTTGGTTGAGGAAAACAGCATAGAGGTTTTTTAAAGATCTAGTCGCAATATGATAATTTTCTGTGAGATTGAAATACCACAAGTATGAAATACATATATTTCTTTGATAAGCTGGTCAGCTGGTGACAGAAAGAACGGAGACTTTTGCTCTCTGTGCATTGGTATATTTCGTAGGTTCTTTTAGCGACTAGAACAGGACAGAATAGAACTGACAAGTCCTAGTTTATAAGTCAACCGAATTACGTCTGTATCGGGTGTTTCAGACTTAACAAAGGATGGAGAAATACCATTGTTCCTCCTTCGCTATTGTGTCACCGACTTCACGTAATTCCAAGTTTCTAGAAAGTCTAAATCTTGTTCAGAGAGATATAAATTGGTCTCCTCCCCCCCTCTCTTCCTCCTCCTTCTTTCCTTTCTCTTGCGAATCGTTCCCCAGAGGCAGTTTCATAAAAAAGTGAATTAGACGAGTCATTAGAAGAAGAAGTACGCGCCTTATATTTTCAAATATTAGAATACAGATGAAAAGTATATAAGAAATGTAACATCGTAAACGAGAACTCAGCAATCAAAATCGTCTCGCGTTTGAAGTTTGAGTATCGGCGCTGGTGAGCCGACCGTAGGAGAATCGCGGACAAAGAAATCACGTAACCCCCACGTACGATAGTTTGTAGAGTTACGCCTACACCAGCCTACACTACGAAAGCGGCATCTCCGCTCAAGGTCCGCGAGCGGCAGTGGAGAAATAATACGCGGGACCCCGAAAACCCGATTGACGATCGATGCTCGAGCCCTGGACCGCCCGGCTGCGCCCTTAGAAAAATTTACTGTAATTGAAATTGACGTTTTTTTTCTTCTTAAGTAATCTTTCAAGTTTACTCTTGAAGCAGTTAAGAATTTACTTAAGAAATTTTAGAGCAAATTTAGGCCCGGTTTCACCAACGTCGCTTAACTTTGAGCTTATCGTTACTTTAAATTCGTTCTTTGTCTCTTTCCAACTGTTACTTTAGAAAGGGACAAAGAACGAATTGAGGTAAGCTTAAAGTTAAACAACGTTGGTGAATCTTGAACTTGGGCACTTGAGGCAGTTTTAGGAAAACCAAAGATTTAAAATAATTTATTTTAATATCGTATTCTAAAAAATAGAATCGAGAGCCGCGCGGCACAACACTTTCCCGTAAAAAGAAAACTGTACGTAGTACAATTATATCGCGTGTGACACTGATTATTGAGTACCTTAGAAAACACTTCATACAAAGTTTTAATGAAAACCTTAACTTATTATACTTTAACATTCTCTTGCGTTCTCTTGAAGAAAGCGTAAGGATCGTGAAAGGTAATTTTCGATAATTTCGCCATTTTTAAATTATCTCGAAGAGTAACTTGAAAACCGTCCACGTTTACTTTTCACGTAACTTAGGTTTTCTTTTAAACTCTTAAAGTTTTGAGTTTACCTCAAGTAAAGGTTTTAAGTGCCCAAATTTACTCTTTGCATTTCTCACTTCCCTCAAGTAAGATTTTAAGGTTTTCTAAAAGGGCACATTTTCCCAAGGGCGTCTCAATTTACGGCCCCGTCAATCGGAGATCGATCTCGATGTCAGGCCGCGAGGTCCTCTCGCCGGGTCTCCGCCGGCCGCGCAGGACGGCGGGTCCCGTGGGAGCGGAGCGCGACACGGGGAGTAGTAGGGCGCCCAGGATACCTAAATCCACCACTGCCACGTTCTCCCTTCCATCCTTTTCTCCGGAACGGCGGCCGCATGAGCCAGTACCAAACGCACGCACGCTGCGGTCTTTTCTCCCTCTTCCCGCCCGCCGGTTTACTCTATTATCCGTCAGTAAGTCGCGGGCCGCCGACACGAGTGTGTTCGAGGTGTACCTTGTGCTCGACCACGTGAAACGTTCCGACTCCGGTGTCTCTCGCGCTAACGGCGAACGAAAAAGAAAATTGAAAAGGGGGAGAAAAGACGAGAAGGGACAAGACGCCGCCGCGCACATACCTACCGCTTTAAGAATCGAAGCGCGCGTTTTCCGCACTAAGTAAGGGTAGATCGATCGGTATCCCCCCGAGGTCGCGCAGAGACGGTCGTTGCGTGGACCCGATTAAAAATAGGGTTCTCCGCGTCTCTCTCTTTCTCTCTCTCCCTCGCTCGCTCTCTCTCTCTCTCTCTCTCGTTTTCGTGAGATGCGGGCGTGGACGATAAAAGTAGAATCCGGCCGGCCCTCCCTGCTCCCGCGATCCTGGCTTCCAAGTTCGGAATTCGGATACCCCCGGGTGCCGTCGACGCGCCGAGAGCGAAGCCCGCGCGGTGCGTGCGCGCACACGCGTGTACAACGACGCGTACGCGCGTGCACGGGCGACGGCGGCGTGCTTCCCCCGCGTTCGACGGCCGTTGGTAGACGAGGAAGCGTCGCGACGACCCTCGGCGCACGGACGGGACGAGGTTAGGGTGTCCGCGGACGTGCCGTGTCCCCAGGGTCCCCGCCACGTCGGCTGCCGCCCGGGACTTGAATTGTATCGCGCGTTACAGCGGAGCGCACGTGGTGCGATCGTGATACCCGCGCAAAAATATCGCCCCGGGAGTATAAGGGGAGGGGGGGAGGGGAAGGGAAGGCAAGAACCTTAGGCTTGTTTTCCGTTGCTACACTGGTGAACTAGTGCGATAAATTAGAGTAAGACAAGTGTGGTTTTTCTCGTTCTAGCTTACTGCACTAGTTCGCCAGTGCAGCGATAGAAAACAAGCCTCCTGTGTGCGGCGTATACGTGGAGCTGGGGATTCGAAATCGCGAGCTCCTGAAAGGCGCGAGAAGGAACGTTGGGGTGAAATTTACTTGAAATGAGATCGAAGTTGTTGAAAGGGTGATTTTTCAATTCTAAGAGTTTACTCTCTTGAAGAAGTTGAAAGTTTACTTAAGAAATTGTGAGTAATTTTGAGCACTCGGAGTTTTAAGTTCGCCTTAAATAAAAGTTTAAAGTGTCCAAATTTACTTTTTACATTTCTTATCTTTCAAAAGAAAAATTTTAAGGTTTCCTAAGGTACATTTTCCCAAGGGATCTTTTATCGGACTAGTGCTCGATTCTTGAATTCACTCGAAAGAAAATGGTGTTCTCACAGAAAACTTGCAAGTCGATTGGCTGCTCGCACGGCTTTTGG